CTAAGGGCGCCCCACGGGCTTTCTCACTTAAGCTCAGGGGAACCACCAGGGGATTCGGCTTCCGACCTACGTCATTCGACGAGGAGTTCGAGGCGAGCAGCTACCTGCTCGCGGCCAAGCATGCTGATGACATTAACATGGCCGGTACTGAGGACACCATTGACAAGCATGTCGGATGCGTTGAGGGCACCTTTGGTAAGTGTAAACTCAGCATGCACACGTACGCGGATTGTGCTGTGATATATACCAAGGGTGAGGACGGCAATGTCACTTGGGATCAAGATGGAGATATTGTAGTGGCCTTCGGCCAGTGCCGCCGATCCGGGGCGCTCCGGCTAATGTGATCCTTCTTCGCCCCCGTCGCTCCTCTCTTTTTCTCTCCCCTCCTCTCACTCAGCATTTATTGAAGACGCCTACGGCGAATCACCGCCGCCCCCTGCCTTTTTGGAAGCGCCTATGTGGCCGAACGTTGAGGCCAGACCTGCCAAGCTATCGGACCACGCGTTCCCCGAATCGGTTTGGAAAGCCTTCGGGGAACACGTGGGCATCTTGAAGGTCATCTTGGCCGTCTTGGAGGCCTCTTGGGCAAGCTTTGGGCGATCTTTGGGGCTTTTTGGGCCGTCTCGGGCCAGCTTCGAGCCAACTTCGGCCATCTTGGTGGGTTCCTGGCACGTCTGAAGCCGTCGGAAGCCGTTTGGGGGGCCTCTATGGGCCGACTTGGGGCCCGCTTGGAATGCTCCAGGGCCGTCTTGGAGGCCATCTTGGGCGTCTGGAGGCCATCTTGGGCGTGTTGGAGGCCTCTTGGGCCCTCTTGGGGCCCTCTAGGGGCCATCTTGGAGGCCACTTGGGCCATCATGGGGCTCTCTTGGGGGCCTCTTGGGCGATCTTGGGGGCTTCTTGGGCCGTCTTGAGCCGTCGGAGAGCCGAAAAGGCGCAAATGCCAAAATCCTTCAAAAACCAATTGAAAATCAATGATTTTGGCCTCTTCGGATTCTCCTGGAGGACCTCTTGGAGGCCTCTTGGGCCGTCTGGGAGGCCTCTGGGGGGCCTCTTGGGCCGTCTTGGGCCGTCTTGGACTCTCTTGGGCCGTTTTGGAGGCCGTCTTGGACCATCTCGGGCGGACTTGGAGGCCATCTTGGGCCATCTTCGCGATTTTTTGAGGATGTTCCGAGCGAAACGGCCGTTTTTGGGCATTGACAGACGGATTTTCTGAAACTTACGCGTGGCCGGCGGGGCGGGCCGAAGCCCACTGGGGAGTCCGCCGCCCCCTGCTTGCAGGGGTGCACGGCGTGCTGGACGTTTCAGGTTTTGGTTTTGGTTATTTTTCTAAAAGAACTCCCCAGTGGGCTTCGGCCCGTCCCGCCGGCCGCGCGTAAATCTGCAAAAATCCGTCTGTCAATGCCCAAAAACGGCCGTTTCGTTCGGGACATCTCCAACAAATCGCAAAGATGGCCCAAGATGGCCTCCAAGTCCGCCCGAGATGGTCCAAGACGGCCTCCAAAACGGCCCAAGAGAGTCCAAGACGGCCCAAGACGGCCCAAGAGGCCCCCCAGAGGCCTCCCAGACGGCCCAAGAGGCCTCCAAGAGGTCCTCCAGGAGAGTCCGAAGAGGCCAAAATCATTGATTTTCCATTGGTTTTTGAAGGATTTTGGCATTTGCGCCTTTTCGGCTCTCCGACGGCTCAAGACGGCCCAAGAAGCCCCCAAGATCGCCCAAGAGGCCCCCAAGAGAGCCCCATGATGGCCCAAGTGGCCTCCAAGATGGCCCCTAGAGGGCCCCAAGAGGGCCCAAGAGGCCTCCAACGCGCCCAAGATGGCCTCCCAGACGCCCAAGATGGCCTCCAAGACGGCCCTGGAGCATCCCAAGCGGGCCCCAAGTCGACCCATAGAGGCCCCCCAAACGGCTTCCGACGGCTTCAGACGTGCCAGGAACCCACCAAGATGGCCGAAGTTGGCTCGAAGCTGGCCCGAGACGGTCCAAAAAGCCTTTAAAGATCGCCCAAAGCTTGCCCAAGAGGCTTCCAAGACGGCCAAGATGACCCTCAAGATGCCCACGTGTTCCCCGAAGGCTTTCCAAACCGATTCGGGGAACACGTGGTCCGATAGCTCGGCAGGTCTGGCCTCAACGTTCGGCCGCATAGGCGCTTCCAAAAAGGCAGGGGGCGGCGGTGATTCGCCGTAGGCGTCTTCGATTCTTTTAGAAAAAGAACCGAAACCAAAACCTGAAACGTCCAGCACGCCGTGCACCCCTGCAAGCAGGGGGCGGCGGATCCAGTGGCCGTCGGCCTCCGCCACCGTGCTTGGGTGGTGGGTCAGAGGCCTCGTGGATGCTGGTTGGGATCTCGTGGTTGGCTGGGACTTCTGGGGGCCTCTTGGGCGCCTCTTGGGGCTTCTTGGGGGCCAGGGCCTCTTGGGGGTCTCTTGGGAGCCTCTTGGGGCTTCTTGGGGGCCTCTTCTGCGCCCCTTGGGGCCTCTTGGAGGCCTCCTCTGAGCCTCTTGGCGCGGGAGGGGTGGCACTCGAGTTCGGGACCCCCTCGGAGGCCACGATCCTTGTGAGGGGTGTCAAAAAACGCATCCGCCGGAAACTCGCACCCCCCCCCCCCACCCCCCCTTCCCCGGCAGAGCCACCCCGGCAACCCCCCCAGAGGCTGAGGCTCAGCCTCGAGGCTGTAGCTGAGACTCCTTGAAACTCACACGCCGGATCGGCGGATTAAGCAGCTCCGTCCTCTACAACATCCTGAATTGACCGGTGCTGACGCTGACGCTCAAGCGACCGCGATGGTGGCAGATACGTTCGTCAGTCTCAGAGGTGCGCGGGCATGCGCACTGATCACCCAGATATGGCTGATGGTATATGTTGTATCTCTACAGCGTGTCCAGGAACCGACCAATATTCAAGTGCGACGACTGAGCGCGATCACCAGAAAGCTACAGGCCTGCCCGACGGAGTTCGTCAACCAGGCGATGAAATCCCACGGGTGAGGTCGACTTACATCGCGACTCAGGCTATCGACGCCTGAGTGGAGACGCCGACGACGACGTCCAAGGCCATGGCACTCGCGGGGCAAACTTGCTACGACGTGGAAACACGTCATCTGGCAAGCCTGTCGTTCACTTGATTGATGCGCGCTGCAAGTCTCACCGCTTGCAAGTCCGCTCAGCAGAGACATTTGCGGCAGCCCATAATTTGGAGGACTGATATCCCACGATTGTGACTCTGCACGAGCTCTACGCGGGGCCACTCACGCCCTCTCAGTTGAAACGCATACTTGAGTTCGGTGGCCTGAGCATCAAGGTCACCTTGGCCATCGATGCTGAGTCTGTCTTTTTTAAGTCCTTGTCAAGGAAAGACTTGAAGAAGCCAGCTGAATGTGCCCTTCTAGGACACGTAAGTTGGATACGACAGATGATGGAGCGCGGAATCGCGCACCGCATTCGGTGTTGTGATACCCGCGACATGACAGCGGATGGACACACCAAGTGGGAGCATCGACAGAGAGATGTTCCTACAAGTCATGGGGGGGCATACAGACCTTCAAACATGACCTAACAAGACACCGTCCATATCGGGCCGGCCAGACAAGAAGTTCTGAGGCCGCCTGAGGAGTACATTATGTATGCGAGGCAACGTGCTGGCGGGTCCAAATCCTTTGGGCTTGTTTCGTTTCTTGGTTAACTGCTGAACTGTTTCTGTAATGCGGGTGGTGGACGCACGCTTCGTCTCCCTCCCCCCGACTCGAAAGCGAGCTGGGGGACGTAAGGAGTGGAAGCGAGCGTGCGCCCGCGGTCACCTTTGCTCAAAGCGGCCGGCCGCCCAGATTTGACTGTGCCTCACCGCGAGGCACATTATCGCTACCGAGACTAAAAGGTATTCCCTCTTACTTGAGATGGCATCTCCTCTTGCATTGGGACTATCGCTACTACGATACAACCGAGCTGGAGTTTGGCTTCTCCTGAGGCGAAGCTGTTGGCTGGGCCTCCCAGCCCCCTTCAAACTCTTGGGGCTGTCTTGGGGCCTCTTGGGGGTATGTCGGAGGTTGGCTTGGCCCATCTGGATGTAGCATGGGCCATATTGGAGGCCATCTTGCGACTTTGAAGCCCTCTTGGAGCCTTCTTGGGCCATCTTGGACGCTGCGGCGCCTCCGTCCCCCCCCCCCCCTCCCAGGCCCAGGGGAGGCCCAGGCCCAGGGGAGGGGGTAAGGGGAGGGGTCAAAACCCCCTCCCCGCCCGCAAGCCGTCTCGCTCACGCCCACCCGCCCTCCCAACACATACGTAACACCCGAGTTTGGCCCGAGCCTCAGCATATGCAGCAATCGTCTTTGGATGGGCAGCTACGGGGGGGCAATCCGCCGCCGCCGCCGCCGCTGCCCGCCGCCGCCGCCTGCCGCGCCGCCGCCGCCGCCGCCGCCGCCGCCTGCCGCCTCCGCCGCCGCCGCCGCCGCCGCCGCGCCGCCATCGCCGCCGCCGCCGCCCCCCGCTGCCAAACCGCCGCCGCCGCCGCAACCGTTGCCGTCACCACCACCGCCGCCGCCGCCGCCGCCGCCGCCGCCGCCCCCGCCGCCGCCGCGGCCGCCCCCGCCGCCGCCGCCGCCGCCGCAGCCGCCGCAGCCCGCCACCGCCGCCGCAGCCGCCGCAGCCGCCGCCGCCGCCAAGTGTTTGTATTATTTGTTGACAGGGATGGTGCGGGGGGGGGGGGGCGCATCGGGTTGGCTGCGCATGTTCCGAATTTGGAAGCAGAGTGCGTGTGTGTGTGTGTGTGTGTGTGTGTGTGTTTTTGTATTGTTTTTGTTTTTTTACCAGGGATGGTGGGGGGGTGTTGTCATGGACCCTGGTTGGCCCCCTGTCGCCTGGGGGAGGGGGTGTTCATTAATAAGGAACAGGGGGGAAAAAAAAAAAAAAAAAAAAAAAACAATGCGTTATACCACCTACGCCCAAAGGGCTGGTGGGATTCCCCCCCCGGAGGGGCCGCACCCAGCCCCACCCCTGACCGCGCGGCCCGAGGCGGCCGCCGAGGGGCCGCCGCTGGCCCTGCCGTTGGCCCCGCCGCGGGGCCCGAACGCTGGTTCCGGCGAGCACGGGAAGAGAGGACTTGCGGCGCTTTTGGGCATCGCCCACTCGTCGCGGACCGGGACACCTCGGGGGCGGAAAAAAGGTGGATTTGATGGCGGGGGCCAGGAAACCTCACCAGATTTTTCATGGCGCTCCCCAGCCCCCCCTGGGCCGTGCACGTGCCGCCGGCCATGATTTGCGCCCCCCCTCTTGGACGCCCCTCTTGGACGCCCCCGAGCACACGTGTTTTGGGCATCGTTCAGGGGCAATGTCAAGGGGTGGGGGAGGTGGGCTCCGGGGTGGAGGGACGCATCGATCGAAGAAGAAGAAGAAGAAGAAGAAAAAGAAGAAGAGGAAGAAGACGAAGAAGAATATGAAACAACTGTATAGACATAAACTCTTTGGCGTTCCGCGCGGATTTCTTGGATCCGCGCTGGGGTTCTCCCAGGTGGCGCCTCCAGCGCCGCGCCTGGCGCGCTCCGCGCGCCAGAGAGGGGGGTCCAGCGCCGATCCAAGAAATCCGCGGGGACCAGCGAGCGTTTATGTTTATGCTAGTTTTGTTTTTTCTAGTAGGGGCACCCACGATTTGAGCATCGTTCCAGGGCAGCGTCAGGGAGAGGGATGTGGGCTCCGCGGGGGGAGGGACGCATCGACCCCCAATCGTCCACTCATCGCGGATAGGGGCGCCCGAGCTTTGGGCATCGTTCTGGGGCAGAGTCAGGGGGGGATGTGGGCTCCAGGGGGGGAGGACGCATCGACTCCCAATCGTCCACTCATCGCCGATGGGGGCTGGACAGCCCACACCGCGGCCAGCAGCGCTCGGGTTCGCTATCGAGGGCCCGTTGCCGTGCTATCGGCGATGTATCACCGATTCCGGGTCGATGCTTCCCCCTTTGAATCAGTCCGCCCTTAACGTTTTCCCGCAGTCGGTCGTCGGCGTAATTCGTTGTCGCCGCCGTCGTCATCGCAGTCGCCGTCGTCGCCGTTGCGGCCACCGCCATCGTCGTCTACGGCGCCTTCGTGACGTTATTTTGTGTTGCGTTTCTCGAGTCTGTCGTCGCCACGGGCAGACGCGCTTGGAAAAACATATTACGACGGACCATTGGAGGTATCTGCAGTCGGGTGTTGAACGAGTTACAGCTCTGTTGTCGTCGTGGTCGTGGTCGGTCGTGGTCGTGATCGTGGTCGTGGTCGTCGCCGTGTTCGTCGTCGTTCGTTCGAGCATCGAACTTCGAGGTTTTCGGGTTCGTCGGGTATCTTCTTGTGCATCGAAGGCCGCCCTCGTCGCCACGCCAGGATTTGTCCCCGAATGTTGGCCAGGACACATCCCAAAGTGGGGCTGTTGTCGATGTCGAAGTCGAAGTCGAAGTCGCCGCCGTCGTCGTCATTGTTGTCCATGCTCAGGCTCCTCATTCCTCGAGCATCGAGGAGTAGCAACGATTGAGGAGGACCGAGGGTTTTAGACCAGGGACGTTTGTCTTATCTTCGTGCTGCTTTTGCTCCCCAATTTTACTCGGGGACTTGGGTGGTTCGGACGCCGTCAATTCGTAGCATACCCGCAGGCCCTTTTGTTCGACGCGCGCTGGGGGTAAAAGAACCCCTATTTATGCTCTCCCACGCATCTACGTATCTCCGCCATGGAAGCGGAGCGCGTGGTTTTGCGGTGAACTACGCGGGTCAGATCCACGGGGAGACTGAGGACGTTCGCTTCCCATGGCAGCGGCGCCCAGAGAGCAGCTGGTGGATTGCAGAGGCGAAATCAAGCTGCCAGAGTTCAGTGGCAGAGATGAGGACTGGCCCAGCTGGTCCATCAAAGGCCACTCGTTATTCTCGCTGATGGGCTGGGATGACCTCATCGATAACGCCGAGGCCCAACCAGCGCAGGCGGTGGACAGCGTCAGCATGGGCGAGCGCGCGGCGGCGACGAGCAAGCTGGTGCATGCCGTGCTGATCACCAAGACCCAGCGCAAGGCGCTGGCGATGGTTACCTTCGCAGGCAGACACGAGGGTTTCGTCGCTTGGCGGGCGATCAAGAACGAGTATGAGCCTGGGGGGAGCAGGTTCGCAGCCATGCTCAGCGGCCTGCTCAACCCCTGGTGGGGCGACCAGAAACCGTTCGCTGACCAGCTCGCTGACTGGGACATAGACGCGGCGGGGTACGTCATGCAGGCGGGGAAGGATTTCGGCGATGAGTTCCGTATCGCCACGCTGCTCGTCCGTAGCCCCGAGCCGTGCAATGCCGTGCTATGTAATGTTCCGACGGCCGCCAAGGTCTCGCACGCGGCGGTGAGGGCCCACCTGAGAGAGTGGATGGCGTCGGGACAGGTCTTCGCAGCTAGCGGCGCGGTGAATCAAGGCGTGGCGCCGATGGAGATCGGTGCGATCTCGGGCCATCACAGCCATGGCCCAAGCGCAGGGGCGACAAGTCGGGAGGCGGCAAGGGTGACAAGATGAGCGGCAAGGGCGACAAGGGCGGAAAGGGCAGCAAGATAAGAATGACAAGCTCATGGGCAGTTACCCCGCCGAGTTCGAGGGAACCTGCACCTGGCGCCAGAAGCAGGGGCACAAGGAGAAGGACTGCTGGCACAAGGCGGCTGGTAAGCCACGGGCGCCGTCATCAGCGTCCCCGAAGGCGGCCGCAGTCCAGCAGGCCGCTGCGGGCGCTGAGGGCCAGAGGGCCGTGGGCGCGGTGGCTGCGGGATCCGACGGCGACGAGGTCGGTTAGGTCTTTGGAGCCAGGAGCTCGGTCGGAGGCTGCCGCGGGGAGGAGCGCAGAGGGCTCATCCTCGCAGACAGTGGCAGCGACGAGCACCTCTGCGGCCGGGCGTTCGGAGCGCAGCATCCAACGGTCCAGGAGGGCCCCGCTGCGCCCGAGCTCCCCGCGGTGGGCGGCCAAAGGCATGGTACCGAAAGGCTCCGCAGGGTCCCCATGGTCGTCGGTGGCGAGAAGGGTCGCCGGCCATGCTTGGGGGCCTCAGAGTGAGCAACGACCTCGGCCCTCAGGGCGCGGCGCCCAGCCTCGGGGAGCTGGCGCGCAAGTTGTTCAGGTTTGTCCTTCAGGAGAGCGACCCGCGCGCCGTGAGCCGCAGGGCGGGCGAGCGGGCGGACGCGAAGCCAGTCGGCAACGCGCTCAATTTCGCCGCGCAGATCCACGACGCGATGGACGAGGCCAAGCGCGCAGCCTGCCCCGCCAGGGTCGCCGCAGCTGGTTCCGCAGGAGCTCCGTGGGGGACAGTGCGAGGGGGGGGTCCTCCGCCGCGCCCAGGAGCTCGGGGGTCGCGTGGCCCGGCGCCGCCAGAGGCGGGAGCTGCGGCGCCGCAGGCGCAGGCGGCGGCGGCGCCGCCGCAGGCGCGGGCGGCGGCGGCGCCGCCGCAGGCGCAGGAGGCGGCGGCGCCCGCGCAAGGCCAAGAGGCGCCTGCGGCGGCACAGCCGTCGGGGCGGTCGTACCTCGAGGGGCTCGGACCAAGCTCGAGGATCGACGCCACGCAGAAGCGCCTCAACGAGATCTACGCCCCGCGCTACGGGGCGAAGGCTCAGCGCTGGGCACGGCTCGTCGAGCATGAGGGCCGGCGCAAGGTGAGGGCGGCGACGGGTGATTTCCGCGCGCTGAGGCGCGAGGAGACGAGGCGCCAGGCGGAGTCGGGACAGGCGGTGGAACCGACCACGTTCCCCGACGTCCGCGAGCCAACGCCAGAGGAGAGACGGCGCCACGAGGAGAAACAGCACTGCCCACCGAGGCGCTGGCGCGAGCACTGTCAGATGGGGCGCGGGCCCCGCGAGTTGCTGGACGCGGAGGTGGAAGGCCCGCCCGTGGCCGGGCTTGACCTGGCATTCTTCAAGGGCGAGGCGGTCGGTTCCGTGGAGGCGGGCCCCCGCGCCGAGGATGGCCAGAGACAGGGCGAGGGGGCGGTGCTGGCGGTCGCGGATGCCGGCGCAGGCGCCGCGCGCAGCGCCCCGATGCCTGACCGACGCGCCAACCCATGCGCGGCGGCAGCCACGGTGGCGTTCACCAAGAGCTTTTTCCACCAGAAGGTCATCCTGAGGCCAGACCACGAAGACGCCATGATGGGCCTGGCCGACAAGGTCGAGGCGGAGCTGCCCAAACGTGTGGTCGTGAGACCTGCGCCTGCGTTCAGCTCTCAGTCGAGCCCTTCGGAGAATGTCAATGGCATCATCCAGGCGCAGTTCCGCGCGAGCAGGGGCGCGCTGGAGGCGCGGCTAGGGGCCAGGGTCTGACCAGGCACGGCCGCGCATAAGTGGCTGCAACGCCACGCGGGCTGGGCATGCACCAACCTGAGGATCAGGGCGAGCGGTCGCGCAGCACATGAGGACCTCTACGGCCACGCCTACTCCAGGGAGAGCGCCACTCCAGGGAAGTCCGCCCTGGCGCGCTCTCCCAGGGGCAAGAATAGCAGGGCGAGAGGCAAGGTGCACCACAAGGGTGACACGGGCTTCGCGAGGGCGGTGCGGCCAGGGAAGAGCTACGACGCCGACGAGCACGCGCGCGCCCTCGAGACGGGCGGGCTAGTCACGACGAGGACCGTCACGAGGCTGCCCGAAGAGCGGAGGTTCAACCGCACCGCTGTGGCGGCGATCGCGCACATGCCGCGGCAGCGCCGAGGGCGCGGCACTGGCCCGCGCGGGTTCGAGCCAATCGCAGCGCCCCCTGCCGCCGCGGGCGCCGACCTGGCGGCGCAAGTGGCAGCTGAGGCACAGCCAGACCCGAACGCTGCTGCCCAGACCACTGGGGCCGCCTACATGGCGGCGGGCCAGCACCCCAGACGGGCACTCCCATGGCGACGCCCTCGGCTGAAGCGGCGGGCGGCGCCGAGGCGCCTGCTGGGGGCGAGCGAGTGCACCCCGCTAACGCCCCCTATAGGTCGATCGCCGAAGCGACCCGCGGAGGAGGGTGACAACCGAGGCGCGCTTACGAGGTTCCAAGTTAGCGGAGTAGCGGCAGAGCACTGTGATGACATTCTCTTTGTTTCCCGGCAGATCCTCAGGGCATGGGCGCCTTGGGCCCCCACGACGCGTCGC